TCCCAGGGTGGCACCGAGAGAACTGCTACTTCTGAATCCCAAGGATGTGTTGGCAGGCTGGTCAGAGCCCTGGGAGAAGAGGGAGCTCTGTGAATTGCTATTCAGAGCGTTGTTGCCGTACAAAGAACTATTAGGATTTTTATGGAGATTGAATTGAATTTGTAGATTGCTTTGAGAAGTGTAAATATTAAGACTTCCAATCCATGAAGACAGTATGTCTTTCCATTTACTTGTGTCTTTTTAAATTTCTTAATGTTTTTAGTTTGCAATGTGTCTTTCACCTCCTTGGTAAAATTTATTCCTAAGCATTTGATTATTTTTGATAACATTGTAAATGGGATTGGCTTTCTAATTTTCTTTCAGAAAGTTTATTTTTGGTGAATAGAAATGTAATTGATTTTTACATTTTTTATTATACTATTTTGCTGAATTCATTTATTAATTCTAACAGTTTTTGTGGAGTCTTTAGAGAACTGCTTGAACTGGGACCCGGGAGGCAGAGGTTGCAGTGAGCCAAGATCATGCCACTTTACTCCAGCCTGGGCTACAGAGCAAGAGTTCATCTCAAAAAAAAAAAAAAAAAATCAGTATTACTTCTTCTTAAATGTTTGATGTAATTCACTAGTGAAGCCACATGGGCCTGGCATTTCCTTTATGTGAAGGTTTTGTAACTACAAATTGTATTTTTCTAACAGATATAGGGCTATTCAGATTATGTATTGAGTGAGCTATGGTAGTTTGTGTATTTAAAGGAGTTCATCTATTTTATGACAATTATGGAAATCATTGACATGAAATTATATATAATATTTTCTTATGATTCTTTTAACATCTGTAAAACCTATAATCACGTCACCTTTCTCATTCCTGCTACTGGCATTTTTTTCTTCTACTTCCTGATTAATCTGCCTAGATTTATCAGCTTTCTGTTGATTTATGTTAACACGGTATGTATTTTTTAACCTGTTTGATTCTTTATATATGAAATGCATTCCTTGTAAGCAGCATTTTATTGGGTCTTCCTTAAAAAGTATATGACAATTCCTGACTTTTAATTGTGGTGTTTAAACCATTTACATTTAATATGATTATTTATATGGTTAGGTTTTAGTCTATAATTTTGATTTTTGTTATTCTAACTGTTCTTTTTTCCTTTTTTCTTCCATTTTGATCAAACATTTTTATTACATTTTATCTTCTTTTCTGGCTTATTAACTATGTAAACCAGAAGTAAAATTCTAAGCCCCTCACCAACTGAATGGATTTCTCCTCTCAGACAACGGCATTCCTAAGTTAACCTGAAAAATTAGTTCAGGTCATGAGTAGTAGTAGGGGGTCAGACATGCTACACTATATTTACCTTCCTTTGGAATTCAGGCATAGTTGACCAGCATTTAACATTAAAACAGGCTGGGCATGGTGGATCATGCCTGTAATCCCTGCACTTTGGGAGGCCGAGACAGGTGGATCATGAGGTCAAGAGATTGAGATCATCCTAGCCAACATGGTGAAACCCCATCTCTACTAAAAATACAAAAATTAGCTGGGCATGGTGGCACGTGCCTGTAGTCCCAGCTACTTGGGAGGCTGAGGCAGGAGAATCGCTTGAACCCAGGAGGCGGAGATTGCAATGAGCCAAGAGCCAAGATCACGCCATTGTACTCCAGCCTGGGCAAGAGAGTAAGACTCTGTCTCAAAAACAAAAGCAAAAACAACAACAACAAAAAAAAAACAGAGATCTTAAGACTGATGAAACAGAATAACAGAAACTTGGTAGCCATTAAGGTATCAACATGATGGAAAGCAAGCGCTAAAAGAAATACAAATACTTTACCTCAAAAGATATTTCTTTTTACTCTCCCTCTCTCTTTTTTTTTTTTTTTTTTTTTTTTTTTTTGAGATGGAGTCTCACTCTCTTGCCCAGGCTGGAGTGTTACTTCACTGAAACCTCTGCCTCCCAGGTTCATGCAATTTTCTGCCTCAGCCTCCTGAGTAGCTGGGATTACAGGTGCCCACCACCACGCCTGGCTAATTTTTTTGTATTTTTTGTAGAGATGCAGTTTGACCATGTTGGCCAGGTTGGTCTCAAACTCCTGACCTCAAGTGATCTGCCTGCTTCAACCTCCCAAAGTGCTAGGATTACAGGCATGAATCAACATGCCCAGCCACATTTCTTAAACGTATTTGGAAATGTCCCTACAAAGCTGTCTTTTGTGGGAAAAATCTATATTCTATAGAACATCTCCTTTCATTTCCAGGTCTTCTTCCTGATCCAGGAGACAATGAACTGAGTCTGGAAACTTTTTAAGTCTGATAAGAAACATTTACCATCTATTCTTTCTGAAGCCTGCTACCTGGAGGCTTTACCTGCATAATAAAAACCTTGGTCTCCACAACCCCATATTTTAGCTCTTCTATTAATTCCAGATCTTTAAATAAATGCTTTCAACCCATTGCCAATCAGGAAATCTTTGAATCCACTTATGACCTAGAGGTCATAACCCCTCTCCTGTCGCCTCTCCCAGTTCACATTGCTCAACAACGAGTGTCAAATTGGTTGGATGAAGGGTGCAAAGTATTGTTCCTGGGTGCATCTGTGAGGGTGTTGCCAAAGAAGACTGACATTTGAGTCAGTGGATGGGGAGAGGCAGAGGGTGGGCACCATCTACTCAGCTGCCAGCATGGCTAAAAGAAGCAGGAAGGAGAACATGGGAGGACTAGATTAGCTGAGTCTTCTGGCCTCCATCTTTCTCCCATGCTGGATGCTTCCTGCCCTTAAACATTGGACGCCAAGTTTTTTAGCTTTTGGACTCTCAGACTTACATCAGTGATTTGTCAGGGGTGCTTGGGCCTTTGGCCACAGACTGAAGGGTGCACTGTGAGCTTCCCTACTTTTGAGATTTGGGGACTCAGACTGGCTTCCTTGCTCCTCAGCTTGCAGGAGGCTATTGGGGGACTTCACCTTGTGACTGTGTGAATCAATACTCCTTAATAAGCTCCCTTTCACACATACATCTATCCTATTAGTCCTGTCCCTCTAAAGAACCTGACCTTTCCAGACCTAACCAAGGTATGTCTTACATGTATTGATTCACGTCTTATATCTCCCTAAAACATGTAAATTCAAGCTGTAGCCCAGCCACCTTGGGCACAAGTTCTCAGGACCTCCTGAGGCTGTGTCATGGGCACGCCCTTAACCTTGGCCAAATAAACTTCTAAATGGATTGAGACATGTCTCTGATATATATATATATATATATATATATATATATATATATATATATATATATATATTTGGCTTAAAATTTTAATTCTTGATTTTGCTACTTTTGTGTTTGCTCTGGGATGACAGATAAATCTTAAACTTATCACAATCTACCTTCCGGTGAATTACACCATTTCACATACACTATTCAAACCTTACGACAGTATACTTGCATTTCTCCCTTCTCAATCTTTATGTTTTGTTGTCATATACTTTATTTGTATGTACCTATGTTGCAATAACAACACATTGGTATCATTCTGTTTAAACAATTATCTTTAAAAGAAATTTACATAATAAGAAACAAATGTTTACTCACATAGCCATAATTTCTGATGCTTTTCATTCCTTTGAATAGAGGTAGTTTTTACTGGGTATCATTTTCTTCTGCCTGAAGAATTTCCATTAACATTTCTTTGTGGTATGGTTCTGCTATGGACAATTTCTTTTAGCTTTTGCATGTCTGAAAAGCTCTTTATTTTGCCTTCATTTTTGAAAATCTGATTCCCCTAAGTACAAATACTATAGAATAATTTCAGTGCTTTTGTTTTATTTTATTTTTTTCACTCAGGCCAACAGGGAGCCAGGCCCTGCAGGGGCTTTATTTTGACACCACTTCATTTCAATACAAACAGTCCAGAAAGAAAGTCCTGTCCCTCTGGGGGTGGGGCAAGAGGGAAGAGTGGTCTCTGTTGCTTGGGAGCCCAGCCTACAACCCAAAGGTGGGGGCTGGGCCGACACTGCCAGCACAGCAGGGAAAGATGGCACCAAGAATGACACAGTGCATGGCTCAGCTCCCAGAGGGTGAGGCCCGCAAGCTCTCACTGGCGGGTGCTGTCCAGGCCCCCAAGCCCAGAATGATGCAGAGGAAGGAGCTGAGCCCTCGGAGCCTGCCTCTGCCCCTCACACCGTCTGCTTCCCTGGCCAGCATCAGCTCACAGCATCCAGAATTGACACACAGCAGACCAGACCCTCCATGGCCACCAACCAGGGGAAGAAGGGATACAGAATGTCACAGAGGGTCCTATGGCCCACAGTAGATGGTACAGAAGGACCCTGAGACTCCTGGAAGTCATCTTCCAAGTGCTTACTGTAGAAAGTGGTGGTGAGACGAGAGACCACTCAGGGCTTCAGTCTGATCCTGAATGAAACTTTTAGGTACCAGGTAAAGTTCCCAGCCCTCAGTAAAGCCCAGACAAAGGTCCTTCCCCTTCCTCACCCTCTCCTGGCACTCAGAAGAGGCCACTGAGGGCAGCAGCAACAAGTCCGTAGCCTCTTTCCCCAGAGGACGGGTCTACAGTGAACTCCTTCCAGGCCTCCCCCAGTTCCGAAGGATGGAGGCCCAAGCCATTGAGCTAGAAGAACCCTAGAGCCAGCACAAAGGCCTTCTACCTTCCACTTTCCCTGCTTGTGGAAAGGCTGGACCCAGAATAAGCCATCCTGGGGGAACCCCTCTCCCAGTGCGGCAGGACAAGTGAGCAGCAGCTGTGGGTGCAGGACAGAAGGACAAGAGGTGAACACACGGTTTGTGTGTCGGGGGAATAAGGGGCTCAGTCCACAGGCAGAGGACAAGGGCTGGTACTGACCATCCCCTCACGGAAGGCTACCCTCCACACACACCACACATCCAAAGTAACAAATCCTCCCCAGCTTTCACAAGACAAGCATGTGTGGCCTGGGATCTGTGGAGTTCTTGCTGCCGTCACCACTGTACGCCTGAGTCACAGAGCTCGGATCAGCAGGAACCGTAGCGATCCTGCAAGAAATTCATCACACCATTGGCCAGCGCAGCCATCTTCCCGGCCACAGACTTGACACCCTGCTTAAACCGGGCAATGTCCGCTGTAGGCAGCACGTTCCCTAGAGATACACTTCCTGCTCCGTGAGCTCCGTCCGTGTCCCCAATGAGGTCTGAAGAGCTGATGGTACTGCTGCCTGAGAGCTGCTGCAGCCGAGACCTAGCCTCATACTCCGCATCCACCTCCCGCCCAAAGAGCATGTCAGATGAGATGGCTTTGGCTCCTGCGAATTTCTCACATGCCTCACTAGACTCGCGGCCTGTGCTCTGGCTCTCCACCTCCCTCTGGTTTGTGGTCCTTTCTGAAATAGGCCAGATGCTTGAGATGGTCACTTCTGGCTCCTTCTCTACCCTGTCCATACCCCAGGCAGCATCTGTATCCCAGCGGGAACCAAAGCTTTCTCCTAAGGAAAGGGGGTTGTCCTTGTACTTGGGGGGTCCAGAGGTGAAAGTACCAACATCGTCAAACAAGTCCAGCTGCGAGCCAGAAGATTCTGCACTCACTGGGGTTTCCTGCTCGATCACCTGCATCTCAGACAGCCTGGAGTGGGAGACAGAGCTTCGGGATACCAAGCCCATGCCCAGCCTGTCTGCCTCCTCTCGCTTCTTCCCGTCCAGATTCAGTAGCTTCTTTTCCTCTCTCATGCGATCAGTCTGGAGCTCCTGACAGGCCAGACGCATGGAGGTGACCGTGGACTCCTCCGCCTGCTTCTTGGCATCGGCTGCCTGCTGCTCTCGGAGCTCCTCCGCCACCTGGGCCTGCCGTTCAATCTCGATGAAGCTCTGGCTGCTCACCTTCTGGGCCCCTAGGCCTTTCTTGGCACCCAGCCCTTTCTTAGCTGCTGCTGGCTTCTTGCCAATGATGGAGCTTTTCAGTTCTCCAGCAGGAAGGGCCCCTTTAGATGACAGATACATGAACTCCAGTAATGCTTTGGGTGAGGTGCTAAGCAGCTCTGTGTTTGGGCCATGCTCTGGCTGTGCTAGGCCACTGCTTTCTGCAGACGACATGGGCTGCTGGGTCCCTGAAGGCTCAGTGGTTGGTGCATCCGAGGAAGGGGGTTGAGTGTGTTCTGTGAAGAAATCAGAGTCCTTCTTCTCCGGGGAGTGACTAGGAACAGCACTACTCATGTTGTCTATCCAAAGGTCAGTGCCGTGCCTAGCCAGGGTCGCACTCCCCAGCTGCTGGATCTTCTCCCGGGACATCTGGGCAGCGCGGCTATTGTATTTGATGTTGGCATCATTGGCCGTGCATCCATGTTGGCAGAAAAAAGTCGCTGCATTGGCATTCCCGCCGACCTGCATACACCTCAGCTGGAACCAGTTCCAGCTGGAATCCAACTCTGTGGACCTGATGAAGCTCAGATGGACGCCCAGGGAGCGGTGCACCCCGGAGCAGTCAATGCACAAGAAAACGCCGTAAGTGATGCTGGCCCAACTCGGATTCTTGGCGCTGCAATCGAAACAGGCCTTGTTAGTTGGAACTGCGCCAAGCCTCTTAAAAAGGGTCTGGATTTCTATCTAGCTCGGTTCCACCGCCATTTTTCTCTCCTTCCCAGTCACAACCGCGACCGATGGGTCCAGTGCTTTTACTTTCTTTCAGGATCATAGAAAAGCTATACTTGTTTTCTTGATTGCATTTTTTTTCAATGAGAAATATGGTTTCATTCTTATCTCATTCTTTGCTGCTTTGTATTTCATGTGCTCCTACATCTGGATGCATTTAAAGCTGCCCATCAGTAGTTTTAAACAATCTTGACTTTAATGTGTCTTAGTTGTAATTTTTTCATGTTGGAGTTTATTGAGATTTTTGGAATTGTGAATTTCTAGTTACCATGAAATTTGTAAATATTCAGCCATTGTTTACTCAAATATTCATTTTTGTTTGTGTTGATTTTTCTTTTTTGAGACTGTGTCTTGCTCTATTGCCCAGGCTGGACTGCAATAGCACAATCTCGGATCACTGCAATCTCTGCCTCCTGGGTTCAAGCAATTCTCATGCCTTACCCTCCCAAGTAGCTAGGTTTTACAGGCACCCACCACCACGCCCAGCTAATTTTTGTATTCTTATTAGAGACTGTGTTTCACCATATTGGCCAGGCTGATCTCAAACTCCACCTGCCTCGGCCTCCCAAAGTGCTGGGATTACTGGTGTGAGCCACTGCACCCGGCCCTCGTTTTTTTATTCTCCTCTTTTAAGATTTTTTGGGAACTCCAATCATACATATATTTAGCTGCTTGCAGTTTATCTAGCTTAATGATTCCCCACTTATCATTTTCAGTCTTTTTTTTTTAAATCTGTGTGTGGCATTTAGGATAGTTTTAATTGCTATGCTTTTTATTCATGAATCTTTTCTTTTGTAATGTTTAATCTGCTGTTAATCCAATCCAGTTAATTTTTATATCAGATATTGTATTTTCATCTTTAGAAGTTTTATTTTAGTGTTTTTATCTTTCTTCTGTATACTTCCTTAATGTATATAGGCTTTCATCTCCCTTCTTAAGCAAATGGAATACAGTTACAATAGCATTTTTAAACCATTCAAACTTGAAATGATTATTGACATAGATGGGGTGATATCTACTATGTTTGTCATTGTTTTCTGCTCATTGAATTTGTTGCTTGTTATTTACTATTTTTGTCTTCTTTTTAAGAAGAATGCTACATAGAAAAAATTTTGAAAGAAGTAAGAGAAAAATGACTCATCACACACAAGACAACTCCATTAAGAGTAACACCTAAATTTTCACTGGAGGGTCTAGTGACTAGCTACTAAGTATTGCTTACTCTGGGTGTAGTTAAATGAGTATTTATTGTTCTGGATGAAGTTAACTGGATATTGACAGAACTTGATACATTTCCTGGGGTTAGCTTCAAGTAACAAATAACTGAATGCCTCTAATATTATCAAAGGACCAGCACAAAATATTCTGCATCAGTTTACCCTGCTTGTTACATTTCTTCAAATGAAGTTACTCACTTGACTGCCCATGCGATGCAATGCTGTGGATAGAAATATTATATTCCATATTGACCTCAAAGTAATGGTTTGATAAACAATTGAAATGAATAATTAAAATATTTGCTTAAAAATATGAGAGGGGACAAAGAATTGGAGAGCTAAGAGGTGATCTATGAATCTCCAGTATGGTGTGTTTCAACTCACCGTGAGAGGACTAAGGATGGGTCTTGGTTAGATAAATGGGTATGTTTTTATGGTGGCATTGGAGAAGGTAGAAAATGAAAGGGAATTTATATACAACTCTTCTCTACAACAGTTTTGTTGTTTCCAGTGTTGGATCTGGAAGTCCCTATAATGGGGCTAAAATTAATGTCCAAGTGTCTAGTAATATTACAAAACCAGAAAGTATGTCTCTTACTTTGACTAATGACAAGAATTCCAAAGAGATTAATGGGGTGGATGATCCTCTCTCTGCATCTCAGCAAGTTGGGACTGCCTATGCTAATGTTGTGCTGCCTACTGGATGGAATAGCCATTATTTCTCTGTACTCATCCAATTCAACCCCATATGTGTGTGAATGGACCAACAAGGAAGTCCTGACATGTCTCGTCTTGCTACTGCCACCATGGCCGAATGAGTTACTGACTTCAGGAGGAAAGATTTGTTTTAAACTTAATGATAAATGAGAGAAAAGTTAATCTGGCTGAGGGAAAAGAACCAGTAAGTGTGTGTTACAACAGGGAAAAATCAAAGATAATTTTGATGTCCTAAGAGAGGTTTACAAGTGAATAATATGCTCTCTTAGCTTTGACTCAGATGCCCCCTGGGGGAAAAGACTGCCAAAACTTCCTCCACTTTAAAAAAATGAAGAATCTGTAAAATGACCAATCTAATAAATATACTTCCACTATTGATCTATGTCCTTCAGTAACCAGATTGGAGCTCAGACAATGACTATGTGAAATAATACTAATGTGGCTGTCTCATATGGTTCTTGTTTCACAGAGAATTCAATTGGTATAAATTTATACTAATAGAAGTATAACTCTCAATTGATGCATATCATACAATACAGATAGCTGAAGATCAGGGAGAAAAAACAATGTATAAAATATGTGGCAGTTCGTGTTGGCATTACAGGATAAATTCACAACCCCTCAGCAGTGATTACAATTCTTTCAAATCTGTATGTGCATTCTGATTGCCTATTGATTATATGCTGTTGAAAGCCAAATGATTCTGTCAAACTAAGAGTGATTTGTTGTAAAAGGCCGTGACCAAAAATTACGGCGGTGGAGTGGACTGCTGTAAAAGTTAAGTCCAGCAGACCTGGAATTAGTGTGAGCTAAAATGTCTGTATATCACTGATCATTGGTCAAGGAATAAAACATACTGATTACTACTGCTGCTTTGCAATCATGAGTCCAAGATGTTTTGGAGCAGGTTTTAAAAGTGTGTCAGCAGTGTTCACCATTAGCAGTGAGACTGATGATTTATGCCTGGTCTCATTGGAACCTTCAGAGTCCTCTGCTGTTAAGGCTTGTTGCCTAGGAAAAATACGCTTACATGTCCAGCAGGGTGTAAGAAACACCAGCAGAGAACTTGGGGGTTTCTGATGTGTTTTCTGCACATGTTGATTCCTTATCTGATAGTGAAATTGTGTACATAAAACACACAAGGAAAAATGGAGTTCATGCCTTTCTTACCCATCCCCCTTCCTGGAGGCAGCCTTTAGCTGTGATGTAAATACTGACTTTAATGGTATTGCTATGTTGTAACCTTGCCCTTAATAAATAATAGATAAATTTAAGTACTGTCATTTGGGGCCCTGTGAGCCTTCTTTAGCAATTGACTCTTGTTTAATTGTCCCTGTTAATGTACCACATTTTTTGGTAAGGCGGCAGTTCTGTAGTCTTAGGCCTGTTGGCCATTTCTCAAGGTGTCACCTGTTTTGCTGCCTAGAGAGTTACCTGTCCGTAACTGACAGAGAAGAATGTAGCTTATGAGGCCTTCACTCTAGGTTATCCTTCTCTGAGCCCCAACATGATCATGAAATAAAAAAGCACAATAGGGAAAAACTAGTGAAATCTGAAAAAACAAAATGTGTCTGCTTAATAATGTTATCAATGTAGGGCCGGGCGCGGTGGCTCACGCCTCTAATCCCAGCACTTTGGGAGGCCGAGGCGGGTGGATCACGAGGTCAAGAGATCGAGACCATCCTGGTCAACATGGTGAAACCCCGTCTCTACTAAAAATACAAAAAATTAGCTGGGCATGGTGGCGTGTGCCTGTAATCCCAGATACTCAGGAGGCTGAGGCAGGAGAATTGCCTGAACCCAGGAGGCGGAGGTTGCGGTGAGCCGAGATCGCGCCATTGCACTCCAGCCTGGGTAACAAGAGCGAAACTCCATCTCAAAAAAAAAAAAATGTTATCAATGTTTCGTAGTTATAAAAACATACCAGAGTAATATGCTAATGGGGAAAGGGGATGAGGAGTATATGCAAACTATCATTGTAATTTTTCTGTAAATATAGTCACAAATTAATTTTTTTTTAATGAGTATGCCTTTTTGTCTATAGTTTTCTGAAAATTAAGCATGTAGAAAGACATGCTTTTGGCCCTCATTTCCCTTGGGCACTGAGCAGTAAGCTCAAATAGCATCATGGTGTCAGAGACGAAGAAAAAAGAAGAAAACATATTTCCCTAAGAGATGGCACCTTTCTGCCAAGAACGGTAAGTATCTGAGGAAGGTTAAGCAGTGCCAGGGCCAGTCGCAGACCAACTCCTTCATCATCCTTCCCTTTTTCATGAGCTGCCCAAAGCTCATGTGTCTTCCCTCAGTATCTGAGTCCTCGTCCAAAGGTGGGCTCTTAATCATGGCTCATTTTTGCAGCGATGCCACTCATTTAACTGTTAACAACAGTGTCAAGGAAACATTCGTCCTCTAACTAATTCTAAAGTTGCCATCATCCTCCCGCACACTATCCTTCCTCAATATAACATAGGATGGGAATTAGAGACATTTTTCTCAGATCAACTGATTTACTACTGTCTTCATGTTCAACCTACCAGATCAAACCCGCAGAAAGCAACATGCTCAGGGCTGAGAGAAATTGTTTCTGGTCTAGGTTTTAAAAATGATTTTGTCTACTTCCTTTTCTGTGCTCATCAAACCATAGGCTAAAATGATGGCACATTAACTAAATGCTTTCTTGACTAAAATTATGTCACACTGTATTGCCTTACTGAAAGTGTCTGCTCTTTTGTACCAGGACTGTCCTTCTGGGACCAAGTAGCCCTTTCATTCTGATTCAAACCTGCTGTCTTCATTTGGCAGAAATACCACTGGTTTGCAATGCAGTATGAATAGGCATCATGATGTTGGAGGTAAATATTCCAAACAGGATGCCAAGACTATATGCATACGGTGGAGGAGAGGACACACTTACTTTATAATTGCTCTGTGGAAAATGAAACAGTAGAGTGGGATAAAATAAAAGAAAAAAAAAAAAAGTAAAAATCACCCTGCCCCACTCCCATCCCCCTGGTTTAACACACATACACACAAGGTGGTTGGGGAAATCTCAATGATCTCCAAGGTCCTAGTAAAACTAGGCAAGACTACTTTTAGGACTAGACTAATTAATATACAGCCATAGCAGGCAGGCCAAAATTTAACAGCATCAAGTTTAGGGAAGCCATCAGAGGATACAGTCACTCAGAAAAGGAAGTAGACAGGCCCCGTGCAGGTTTGGCCCTTTGTGCCCACTAGAACTCACCAGTGAGTTTACATAACGTTTATATACAGACTCAAAGATGTTCCACATAGCTCAGACTATTCACATTTATTCGTATTCTCCACAGAATTCAAATTATTCCATTTTAACTTCACATTCTACAGTGAGTTTGTCTACAGGTAAATATTCTTATATATGTTCTATAAAATTTTTGATATTACAAAACAAAAGCTTTGGTAAGTCAGTTCTAGGTGAATATTTTATTTCCAATCCTAAAACTGGCATATATCCTCAGAAAAAAAAATACCTAGGAAAAATGTCATTTATTCAAAATATGAAATTTTATTATAATTATTTGATGTTTAATGCAATTCAACTTTGTGAAGGCTTTTGTGCTTTTCCCTAAAATTTCTGATTTTTAATGAAGGCTCCTGATCATAGTGGATGTTGGTAAGTTTTCTTATTCATGTGAAGTCTCTGATGCACAATAAACTGATTAGTTTTTCTAAAACTGATTATATTCCTAAGGTTTCATCTCCGTTTTACAAAAGTTTACGCTGAACTATGTGCATTTAACTAATAAGCCAAACTTGTAAGAGCTGAACATACTATAAATTTAATTCTTACTTTAAAATAACAAAAACAAAACCCTGGTGAAGACCCAGAAGTGAACTCTGTTCCAGTTTTCCAGATTCTAGCTTCCTTTAACTGTGCTCTATGGTTTTCAACACACGGGACCCAAATCTGCTGCACAAATAGCCTCCAATCCATCAATCCATCTTATCCACCAGGAAAACTGTGAGGTGTTTTTAAGGGCCAAGATTAAATGTAATATGTATCATTAGCAGCACATTCCATGGTCAGTCCTACCTGGATGAATGGCATACTGGGATTTTTCAACAAGCTATGAGCCTAATGGAAAAAGAAATAAGGAAAACTAGTTTCCAGCCCATGTGACATGAATTTCTGTGACATGAATTTCTGTACTGCATGTTATGTAGTAAGGCAGGTGTCCCCAAACTATGGCCCGCGGGCCACCTGCAGCCCCCTGAGGCCATTTATCCGGCCCCCCACTGCACTTCAGGAAGGGGCACCTCTTTCATTGGTGGTCAGTGAGAGGAGCACAGTATGTGGCGGCCCTCCAACGGTCTGAGGGACAGTGAACTGGCCCCATGTGTAAAAAGTTTGGGGACGCCTGTAGTAAGGTATGAGTTCCTTCAAGACATCCCAAATTCATTACATGCTAGGGTTTTCTCTCTAGTATGCATTCTGGTGTGATGTACTCTAAGAGCTGCCTTACGGACAAAAGTTTTCCCACATTCACCACATTCATAGGGTTTCTCCCCTGTGTGAATTCTCTGGTGTACTCTGAGAGTTGAATTTTGGGCAAAAGCCTTCCCACATTCATTACACTCATAGGGCTTCTCCCCTGTGTGAATTCTCTGGTGTGCACAAAGGTGTGATTTCTGGGAGAACATTTTCCCACAGTCATGACATTCATAGGATTTCTCCCCTGTGTGAATTCTTTGATGTACTCTGAGGGTTGAATTATGGGCAAATGGCTTCCCACATACATTACATTCGTAAGGTTTCTCCCCTGTATGAACTCTCTGATGTGCACTAACATACGACTTCTCAGAGAAGGTTTTGCCACATTCACTACATTCATAGGGTTTCTCCCCTGAGCGAGTTCTAAGATGTGCTCTGAGATGCGACGTCTTGGAGAAGGTCTTCCCACATTCATTACATTCATAGGGTTTCTCCCCTGTGTGAATTCTATGATGTGCCCTGAGGGCTGAATTATCAGCAAACGTTTTCCCACATTCATTACATTCATAGGGTTTTTCCCCAGTATGAATTCTCTGATGTGCACAGAGGTGTGTTCTTTGGGAGAAAGTTTTCCCACATTCATTACATTCATAGGGTTTCTCCCCTGTGTGAATTCTTTGATGCACTATGAGGGCTGCCTTATACACAAAAGTTTTCCCACATATGTTACATTCATAGGGTTTTTCCCCTGTGTGAATTCTCTCATGTCCACTGAGGTATGATTTCTGGGAGAACGTTTTCCCACACTTGCTACATTCATAGGGTTTCTCCCCGGTGTGAATTCTCCGATGTGTACTGAGGCGTGTCTTCTGGAAAAAGGTTTTCCCACATTCGTTACATTCATAGAGCTTCTCCCCTGTGTGGATGTTCTGATGTGCTCTAAGGGCTGAATTATGGGCAAATGTTTTCTCACATTCATTACATTCATAGGGTTTTGCCCCTGTGTGAATTCTCTGATGTATTTTGAGGGCTGAATTATGGGCAAAAGTTTTCTCACAGTCATTACATTCATAGGGTTTTCTACCTGTGTGAATCCTCTGATGTGCCCTCAGGGCTGAATTGTAGGTGAAAGATCTCCCACATTCATTACATTCATAGGGTTTCTCCCCTGTATGAATTCTCTGATGTGCCTTGAGAACAGAAATATGGGCAAAAGACCTTCCACATTCATGACATTCATAAGGTTTCTCCCCCGTGTGAATTCTATGATGTGCTCTGAGGGATGAATTATGGGCAAAAGTTTTTTCACAGTCACTGCATTCATAGGGCTTCTCACCTGTATGAATTCTTTGATGTGCTCTCAGGGCTGAGTTATAGGTAAAAGATTTCCCACAGTCATTACATTCATAGGGTTTCTCCCCTATATGAACTCTCTGATGTACACTGAGGTGTGTCTTGTGAGAGAAAGTTTTCTCACATTCAACACATTCATAGGGTTTTTCACCTGTGTGAATTCTCTGATGTGCTCTGAGATGTGATGTCTTGGAGTAAGTTTTCCCACATTCAATACATTCATAGGGTTTTTCCCCAATGAGAATTCTCTGATGTCCTTTGAGATGTGATGTCTTCCCATATTCACTGCCATCACAGAGTTTCATCTCTGCATCTGTTTTCTGGTGTCCTATGAGGGGTGACTTGTAAGCTCTCCCATAGCCGTTGTTATCACAAAGTTTCTCTTTTACATGAATTCTCAAATGTTTACTGAGGTTTGAATTCTGACAGAAAGTTTTCCCACATTCATTACATTCATAAAGTTTCAATCCCATATAAGTTCCAGGATGCTGAATAGAGTGTGAACTTGAAGAAAAGGATGTCCCAAATTCCTCATATTGGTAAGGTTTCTCTCCTGAATGGGTCCTCTGATGCTTAATGAGGTGTGCTTTCTGGTAAAAGGATTTTCTGCATTTCCCATGTTCATCAGAAAGGTGGAATTTCTCTCCTGTGTGAATTCTCTGATGTTCTGTTAAGTCTAATTTCTGGTAGAGGGCATTTGAACATTCATTATATTCACTAAATTTATCTCCAGTTTGTGTTTTCTGATGTACTACCTGGGCCAAATTCTGGCTAAAATTTTCTTTACATTTATTGCTTTCAAAAGCACTCTGTCCTGAAATAGTTCTCTGAGATTGAGTGAGGGGTAATCTCCTACTGAAATTAATCCCCCTTTCATTACCTTCATAGTGTGTCATAGCCATGTCAATTTTATTGTATTCAACAATGGTGGTTTTGTCACAGGATGTCCCATATTCATTAAGATCAGAGCATTTTCCCCTTGTGTCAGTTCTCATGTAGTTAAATAAAGTGGTTTTATCAAAGTTTTTTCTAAATTCATCATCCTTACAGGACTCTTCTCCTGTTGGAAAATTCTCAGGTGTAATACAAATTGTCTTATCATAGAAATCTTGTCCAGATCCATCACATTCAAAAGATCCCTCCAACATTTGAAATTTCCAGTGCTGATCTTTCTTATAACTGCAAGTTTTCACATTTTTACCATGTTCATAAGATTCTTCTCCAGGATGAGCTTTCTCACACTTAATATCAAGCTGCAATTTCTCATATACATTTATGTATTTAGCCTTCTTTCTTGAATATTTTCCTTCACTTATAATTACTTCAGAGGCAACTGGCAAATTCATTCTATGTGAGTCACATTTACAGGGTATTTTTTCAAAAAACTCTGGAGCTATTTCCAGATCAAATGTTTTTTCTAAAACTTTCTGTCCTTCTTTATGCAATGTTTCATCAGCATCATCAATGAATATCTCTTTCCACAGAGGTTTTTCTTGTTTTTCCCAGATCCCTTCAATGTGATTATCAACTTTAAAATGTCCTAAAATGAGAAAAATTGAAACATACTATAAATCTTACATTTCTCATGGAGAAAAACTTATACTCACATTTTGGTTTGGGTTTTTGAGACAGGGTATTGCTCTGTCACCCAGACTGGAGTGCAGTGGTAACAGCATATAGCTCACTGTAGCCTTGAACTCCTAGGCTCAAGCAATCCTCCCACTTCAGCCTCCCTACTAGGTGGGAGTACAGAGGTATGCCACCATGCTCAGCTAATTACATTTTTTTTTATGTAGTAGAGACGGAATCTTGCTATGTTGCCCTGGCTGATCTTAAACTCCTGAGCTCAAGTGATCCTCCCACCTTGACCTCCCAAAGTGCTGGAATTACAGGCATGAGCCACTGTGCCCAGTCCATGTTTTGTTATGTATTTTATCCTATTGTTTCTGCCATGTTTCCAAAGATTAAATAATTCATGCACACAGACAGATTCTCTCCTCAGCTATGCTGTTTATAAAGAGGAATTATTTCTAGGGCCAGTCAAGGTAGAGTAGCCCTTTTCTTCTCATGTCTTCCCTCTTACAATTAAAAATCCCTGGGCAAAAAACAAATATACAAATACACAAAGACTACAAAATGGAAAGAAAGTAGACTTTGGGACTTAAGAAATGACATAGTGAGAATTCCCAGGCTATTCTATATACTAGATGGGTGCTGTAGAAACCTGAAATCCTGCACTGACAGGCACAGACACAAAGAAAAGCCTGCTCCTTCCAGCTAGAGGTCTGAGAAAATGGTAGTCTAACAAAAGAGGAAACACTTTTGATATATCTCATGCTCAGGCCAAACCAAAACGATACACTCCTGGTGGTTCCATGGAGGCTGAGCAGGGAGCTAATTTTCCCCTGCCATAGATACAGGGGATCTGCATGCTCCCATATGTTTTCTTCCATGAGCCATGAAGAATCCTGAGAAAGTTCCATTCTAGGGATACGCTAGGAGATTGTAACAGCAGCCACTGCCAAAATTCTTCCTAGAACCAAATTTTTATCTTATTTATAAAACAAATGTCTTAATCTGAAAGGGCAAGAATAACAAATAAGTTGTTTTAGGGCACTGACGTGAACTCATAGCAGCTACGGGAAGGAAAGAAGAAAAAAAAAAGTGCAGAAATAAGAGCAGAGGCAGGAATACATAGTAGGCCCAATAATCAAGCAGAAGAGGTAAGATAAAGTAGCACTTGAGATAACTACGCCTTTAAACCTGAAGACAGGATGCATTCAGTAGCTGAATTTGTGTTCTTCTCAAACGCACATGGAAAATCATCAAAACAGACTACATTCTGGGCTGTAAGACAAATCTTCACAAACATAGAAGAAAGAAATTACACAGAGGATGATCTTGAGCCACAGAAAAATTATACCAGAAATCAGTAAACATAATTTTATTTGAAGAAATACAAAAGAACTGTAAGTTATACATTCCTAATTAACCTGTGGATGAAAGAAGAATTCTCAAATGAGATATTTTGAAGTGAATGAAAACAAAACAACACAAGAATAGAGAAATCTGTGGATGCAGTTAAAGCAGTACACAGAGATAAATTTCAGGAGTAAATTTTTTATATTTGACAAGAAAGATCTCCAGTCAGATGCTTGTTTCCCCTTTAAGAAACTAGACAAAGAGAGGACAATAAATTGAAAGAAAGTAGAAGGATGAAAAAGAATGAATCAAACTAAAAGCTTAAATATTTAAAGTTTTTTTAAATTATAAAAGCCATCAGAGAGAGAGAGGAAAAAAAAAGAAGACACAAATTATCAATACCAAAAATGCAAGACAGGACTAACTACTAACACAGCAGACATTCAAGAGATAATAAAACAACATTAACAATAACTCTGTGTTAGTTCGGGCTACTACAGCAAATTGCCACAGACAACTAAACTTTTGTTTTTCTCAGTTCAGGAGACTGGAAGTCCGAGATTAGGGTCCCAGCATGACTATTCTTGTGAAGGCTTCTGAGTTACAGACTACTCACTTCTTGTTACATCCTTACATGGTGAAAAGTGAATTACCTAGTTCTGTTATCTTTTTGTAAGGGCATTCCAATCTCTCTTTTTCTTTTCTTTTTTTTTAACTATAAAAGCAAATGAACTTTATTTGGATAATCTAAGTGGAAAGAAAGGTAGGTGAATGTGTACTGTAACCAGAAAGGGCATATTCTATGTCAAATTTAAAACATTATGGCAGAATAATCTAAAAGACATTTATTTCTAAAGGAGCTGTCAGTGAAAAGAAAAGGATATTTATGACAACGTAACATATTAACTTGATTCATTATAATGGTGGATATGTTAATCCTGTGTCTAATTTGCTCAAATTTTAACTATGTTTTCATATGTAAATAAGGCTGAAATCTTTCTGTATATGCGTGTGTGTGTGCATGTGTCTGAATGCATGTCTGTCTGTGTGTGCCGTTCCAAATAACAACTCCAGGACCAAATGGTTTTAACTAGTGAATTGTATCAAACATCCAAGGAAGAAATAATACCAATCCTACACAATGTCTTCCAGAAAATAAAAGAGGGAATATTTTCCAAATCATTTTGTAGGGCCTGCCTCATCTTCATGCCAAGATTAGGCAAAGACTCTTCAAGAAAAGAAACCTTCAGACCAATATCTGCCATAACATAAATGCAAAAATGCCCCTAAAAGTCCATAGAAATAAATAAATATAAATAAAAAATCAGTGAAATCTGCCTCAAAAATGACAAACAGTTGCCACATTGCAATACAGTTACTATAGTTTTTATACTACATTTTAGGTCAATGTAATATCTTATCAGAGATCTGAAGAATTAAAACCACACAACATATCAATGTCAAAAATTTTAACAAAATTCAAAATTGATTTATTGACTTAATAAAAGGAATCTACAAAATGCCTATAACTAACATGATGTTCAAGAGAGATGGAATGTTTTCCCTCTAAGATCGGGAAAAAGACAAGGATGCCTACTACCAGTACCTTTACACAAGATTGCACTGGAAGGACCAGCCAGTGCAATAAGGCAAGAATAAAAACACAAAGATACAGAGTAAATTTACAAAGAAAATCATTTAAAATCTAAAAAGCTCCTTGAACTAGTAACTGTTTTTAGCAAGGGCAGAATCTAAGGCCAATATACAAATCTATGCCTATAAACACACAATGATGAATTGGAATTTGAAATCAGAGAAACAATATTTATCACAGTACCAAAACAAAATTAAAAACAAAAATTAAACAAGCCTTTTCATCTTTGTTCTAAAAACTAAAAGATATTAATGAAAGAAATCAAAGGAACAGTAAATAAATCAGTGGAGACATTTTGTATATGGACTGGAAGACACAATTGTTAAGATGTCAGTGCTTTTTTTTTTGAGACGGAGTTTCACTCTCGTTACCCAGGCTGGAGTGCAATGGTGCGATCTCAGCTCTCCGCAACCTCCGCCTCCTGGGTTCAGGCAATTCTCCTGCCTCAGCCTCCTGAGTAGCTGGGATTACAGGCATGCGCCACCATGCCCAGCTAATTTTTTGTATTTTTAGTAGAGACGAGGTTTCACTATGTTGACCAGGATGGCCTCGATCTCTTGACCTCGTGATCCACCTGCCTTGGCCTCCCAAAGTGCTGGGATTACAGGCGTGAGCCACCGTGCCTGGCTTAAGATGTCAGTGCTCTTTAATTTGCACTATAGATTCAATGGCACACCAGTTTAAATGCCAACATGTTTCCTTTGTAAAGATCATGAAACACATTTAAAAATTTATACAGAAGATGAAAACTGGAGTACTTGATTTCAAAACTTAATAAGCTAGAGTAATCACGTTAATGTGCTATTGGCATAAGGACAGACACATACGTGAATGAAAAGAAATAGAAACTACAGAAATAGACCCACAAATATACAGCCATCTGTTTTCTAAGAAAGGTGGAAATGCTATTCAGTGGAGAAGTAACAATCTTTCAAAAAGTAATGCTAGAATAACTAGACTCCCTGTTCAAAAAAAAATTAAACTTGACACATAACTCATACTTTCTATAGAATTTAACACAAAATGGATTATCAACTAAGTGTAAAAAGTGAAGCTGTAAAATTTCTAGAAGAAAATAGGATTCCTAAATCTGTTATTTTGAGTTTCAAAGTTTCTAGATAGGGTAACAAAAGCAGGATCTGTAAAACAAAATTAGTAAGTTGGACTTTACCAAAATTAATTATTCAGTTTTAGTGAGCCTCCTCTAAAGTTATACTAGCAGGAGTGAGATGCAGCATCATTGCCTGACACGTGGGGATGGAAGTCCAGTTCTCCACTGATTTCTGCTGACACCCTGGAGGTGGAAGAGGAGGCTTCTACTTTTTTTTTTTTTTTTTTTTTTTTTTTTTGAGATGGAGTCTTGTTCGTCGCCCAGGCTGGAGTGCAATGGTGTGATGTCGACTAACTGCAATCTCCGCCTCCCAGGTTCAAGCGATCCTCCTGCCTCAGCCTCCAGAGTAGCTGGGATTACAGGTGCCTGCCACCATGCCTGTCTAATTTTTGTACTTTTAGTAGAGACAGGATTTCACCATGTTGGCCAGGCTGTTCTCAAACTCCTCACCTCAGGTGATCCGCCTCGACCTCCCAAACTGCTGGGATTACAGGTGTGAGCCATTACGCCTGGCCAAGGATTCTACATTATCCCTGGGCATGGGTGAGACATCAGGAGCCCCACAAGGACTCTGATGACACTAACCACAATGTATTTCATCAGGTGCCAAGACCCCTAGTGCATCTTCATTCTTCTTTCCACCCTTGAAAAGTACTTCACTTTATTATACTCCTCTACAAATATTGCACTTTTTTTTTTTTTTGAGACAGAGTCTCATCCTGTTGCCCAGGCTGGAGTGCAGTAGTGGCTCACCATAACCTCCACCTCCTGGGTTCAAGCAATTTTCGTGCCTCGGCCTCCTGATTAGCTGGGATTATAGGTGTGAGCCACCATGACTGGCTAATTTTTTTTGTATTTTTAGTAGAGACAGGGTTTTGCCATATTGGCTAGGCTGGTATCAAACTCCTGGCCTCAAGTGATCCGCCTGCCTCAGCCTCCCAAAGTGCTGTGATTACAAGTGTGAGCCACTGTGCCTAGCTACACATCGCATTCTTTACAAACTGAAGATCTGTCGAAACCCTGAGTTGGGCAAGTCTGTTGGCACCATTTTTCCAACAGCATGTGCTTACTTTGTGTCTGTCCCAGCCATTTTTAGCAATCAAATATTTTAATTAAAGCATGAATACTGTTTTTTAGACACGTTATTGCACAATGAAAAGACTATAGTATAAACATAACTTATATATGCCCTAGAAAAACAAACAATTGTGTGTAACTTGCTTTATTGTGATAATTTGCTTCATTGTAGTGGTCTGGAACAGAAACTGCAATCTCTCTAAAGCATGACTATATATCCAGATATTTAGCTACACTTAGTGGGTAGAGTAGAAAGGGATACGTTTACTTGATCCTTCCCATGGTTAATGCATTCTGTATTTTATTAAATCCTTCCCTAAGAAGAGTCATTAACCTATTCTGTATCATCTTCTACAGTATTTCTACTTTTGCTTTGATAATTAGGTCTTTAAGCCAATTGGATTTGACTTATTGCTTTGATCTATATGGATACCTCAAGATCCTTTTCCCATTGTTCTCCAGTGTCACCTAAGACCAATTGTCTATCAGGTGTATGTTTTCTCATTATCTTTCTACTCTGTTTCACTAATTCACTAAACCATCGCACCCCCTGCTCCATGCTACTTAGCTGCTCAGGGCTTTGCATAGTATCTCGTAGAGCAGCAAGCAAATCACTCTGCTTTATGAATGGGATTTTGTTTGGTATAGCATTACATCTTTACAAACGTACTCCTACTTGAATTCATCATATACGTGTTGCTTCTCTTTTATCTTTGATGGGGTTAGCTAAAGTTTCATTCATTTTATTTTAATTGTAAGAAACATTTAGTTTTCCATTTTACTAATTTCCAATTTCACTTTTAAATTCTTCTGCTTTCACTACTGTATTTTTGATGCCATTCTTGCTTAATTTATTAATGAGACTACAAACTTCCTTCTGTCCACTACTTTAGCTATCTCCGATGGTTTCTATCTTGTGGTTACAATTATTTCATGAAGGAAATCAAATCCAAAATTGCATTACACTTTTTCATATATTGTTTAAAAGAGATACTTTAAAAATTTTTCAGGAGGATTGATTTCATTTTATTATTAATTTCTAGATTTGCCAAACTAGGTTCAGAGAATACTGTTTGTGCTTATTCTAATTTGTTGGATTTACTGAGGTTTTCTCTTTAGACTAATAGTATACTCTCATTATTTTATCATTATTCCATTTAAACATTAAAGTTTTGTTTTTTGCATTAGCATACATATACACAAATGTATAGTTCACTTTAATACAAATGTAATTTATATCCTTTCTAGGCATATTTATTTAATGTCCATTGTACCTATTGTTTGTTAAATCAGATGAGGCATATTATAATGTCCTAATTCTAATGAGTTTTAAGTTCTTAGAACTCCATTATTTTATGTTTTAGTAACATTGATATCATGTTATTTGGTGCAGTCATTCAAATCCTTTAAAAGTTTTCATTTCTCTGTGCTCTTGAAGCAGAGCTTTTTCTACTTTAATGTATTTGTTGCCTGAATTCAGATCTGAATAATACAGAACATGAAACCTACATTATTTTATCTTTATTGACTCAACAACTTTACCAATCTTTTATAATTATCTTTCTATGTTACTTATTTAGGGATATCTCTTTTAGACAATCAACATGATCCAATAATTTACATTTTAGTGACTCAGCAACATGCTTGATCTAAATTATGTCAATCTTTATGTGATGCTATTTGTTGGTTATGGCTTCACAAGAAAAACTTTAAGTGTGCTTCACTTCAAATAATTAAGATGATCTCACTTTCTTATTCTAAAAATTATATTGAAAACTATAACTTTTTAGGATTCCTGGAATCATTTATTAGTACAAAGGCTAACAGGCATATAAAAAGATGCCTGGTATCATTAGTCACCAGGGAAATTGTTGTCTCATCTTTCCCAAATTCTTACCTTGAAGCCCTACCCACAGTTTAAGTGTATTTGCAGACGAGGTCTTCACGGAGGCAATCAAGGTAAAAAGGAGGTCATAGGGAAGGGCCCTAATCCAGTAGTATCTTTATAAGAAGAGGAAAAACAACAGAATATTCTCTCTCTCCCACTGCATGTGCACAGAGGAAAGGCCACATGAAAACACAGCAAGAAAGTGGCTGTCTTCAAGCCAGGAAGAGAGGCTTCCCTAGAAACCAACTTCTTAGCACTTTTATCTTGGACTTCCAGCCTCCAGAATCACAAGAATTTCTGTTGTTTAAGCTTCGCAGTCTATGGTATTTATTATAATAGCCCTAGCTGACTCATACAGAAATGTAAAGCAAAACCACAGTGAGATACTGCTTCATAACCACTGGGTGGCCAGAATCAAAAAGTCAAATAACAGCGAGTATTGGTGAGGATGTGGAGAAATCAGAATCCCCGTATTCTGCTGCTAGTAATGGAAAATGGCACATTTAGAACAACAGTCTGGTGGTTCCTCAAACAGATAAAGACACAGATACCATATGACCCAGCAGTTTCACTCCTAGGGACAGACACTTAAGAAATAAAAACAACTGTCCATGCAAAAATTTGTAAATAAATGTTTATATTACCATTATTTGTAGGTAGAATCCCAAATATCTACTAAAGAATGGACTAACAGGTGGCATATCTACACAACAGAACATGTGGCCATAAAAAGAATGAAACATGTATTCTGTAACTAGTCATAAATATTATGCTAAAGAAAACAAACCAAACACAAAAGACCACATATTATAGATGATTCCATTTATATAAAAATGTCCAAAATAGGCAGATCTATAGAGACAGAAGTAGACTGGTGGTTACCTAGAGCTGCAGAAGGGGATAGGAGAGTGATAACTAAAGGGTACAGGTTGCTTTGAGGTGATGAAAATTAACTAGTGATGTTTGCATATACAGTCACCCTCTGGTATCCATGGGGAACTGGTTCCAGGACGCTCTTGAATACCAAAATCTGCAAATGCCCAAGTCCTTGATGCAAAATGACATAGTATTTGTATATAACCTATGCACATCCTCAGGTATACTTTAAATCATCACCACGTTAATTATGCTACCTAATACAATGTAAATACCATGTAAATAATTGTTATACTGTATTGTTCAGGGAATAATGGCAGGAAAAAAAGATCTACACATGATGAATGGAGGTGCAGTATTTCCTGCCTGAATAGTTTTGATCTGCAGTTGCTTGAAGTCACTGCACTGTACACTTTAAATGCGTGAACTGTATGAGATGTGAATTATATCTCAATAAAACTGTTTAAAAAAACTTTCAAAGTTGCTCTCTCTCTCAAGTCTATCTAGCCCAGAGGGCTCCTTCTGTTAACATCCACTCACCTGGGTACCTCTGCTTCAGGAATTCATCTTCTAAGGACCATGGCTCTTCTCCTTGCTCCAACTGGGAGATCACCTTGGGTTTGGTAATGCAATATCCTATAAACAAAATAATTGAAGGTATACATGGACCAGATCCACGAGCTTTTGGGTTTCCAAAGTTGAAAAAAAGATATGGCAGCAAAGCATTAACTGAGAGTATTCATTTTTAGTTTTTATTGGGAAAGTAATAACACGTTTCTTTTGTTTCTGTAAAGGTTTCAACTACTTCAGACCTTTTAATCCAAAGCCTATAAACTCTTGAATCTCTATAAAGGGTCTGTGTGTTTTGATAATTTTTAAAAGGGAACATATATTCTAGAGAGAGCCCCACGGTAAGCTGTGCTCACCCACTGAGATGAGGTGGCTGTAGTTCTCCAGCATCACATCTCTGTAGAGGGTCCACTCGACAGGGCCCAGGCGCTGCCACTCCTCCTGAGTGAATTCCACAGCCACGTCCTGGAATGACACTGATGCCTGTAACAACATTTATAACACGAAATGTCACGACGGTTTGTTCAAAGGTTCAGAATTAGGTGACACAGAAAATATCTTTGAGAGCTACTACTTTGAGGCTCTAAAATGAATGGTTATAAAGGCCTATTTTTGACCCAATATTATCTTTTTCTTTTTCTTGGTAGCAATATTTATTTTTGACCCAATATTATCTTAACATGTTATTTAATGAAAACATTTTTAACTTGCCATAATTTAGCTATTTACATTTATGAATTCTAGGTTTTAAGACAAAAAGGAAGTCAGCGTAAAACAACTTCCTACAGCTTCCTTCCAACCACCTCCTTCCTTCTTCCACATCTCTGCAGATTATCCAGGGTAGTCTCTAGGACATTCACACCCTCCCTGGACATCATCGCTGTAAATACTGGGGGCTAAGGAAGAGATATATGTGAGGTCTGGAGATACCCCGACCAAACTTATGTATCAACAAACGTATACAAATATACAAGCATAAAGCACATGAAGAGCAGAGAACAGCTACAAAATAGTTGGAACCAAAGAGACCAGTGTAAGAGAACACTTCCTACACAGAAGTCCCAGCAATGGATGTAAGAAAAGGGATGTAATCACAGAAGAGAAGCTACAACCATTTAATAACTACTTTCCTGTACAGCTACTCCATCTAGCTGTATGAGCAGCTCCTTTTAAAAAATTTTTGCTTTTAACTGACAGACAAGTATTTCAAATTATATCTCACTTACACGTGGAATCTAAAAAGTTCAAACTCATAGATGTTGAGAGTAGACTGTTGGTTACCAGAGGCTGGAGGTGAGGGGCGAGGAATGGGGAGGCCCTGGTCAAAGGGCACAAAGTTTCAGTTAGAGAGGAATAGTTTTTGAGATATTGCACAGGATGATGACTAGTGTGAATAATAATGTGTATTTCAAAATGAGCAGCTGCTTGGTGGTGCCAAAACTGGCATTTGAGAAACAAGAAAAAATGTGTTAGAAAATTCAGTGAGAGTTCTGTTCATGTTGGTACACCGCTAGAACTATTCCTTTGACCAGGACACACGATTTTAGAGCACATAAGGGAAGATGGGGATGAAGACAAGCGTTTATGAGTCACTAGCAATTCAGGTGGTAAGTGACGTTAGCAAAGACAGACAGATGGCTTCTTGAGCACATAGGGATTGAAGAAAGAAAAGAACCAAAAACAATACCTGAGGAACCACAAAGCAGAAAAAGTATAGACCACAAAGCCAGAGATGTTTTCTGAAATATAAGAACAGAATCAGGAGGGGGCAGAGTCTTAGAAATTGAGAAAAGAGAAACTTTCCACAACAAAAAGACTTCAAATCAAATCAGCAAGTGATGACAGATACTAAAGTAGAGATCCAAGAAAATTCCTTCTTCCACAAAAGCAATGAAGAACCGACAAAAGCTGCAGAATCCACTTTTTCAGAACTCTAGAAGCTACCAAAGGCTTACAGCAATCTGCAGAACATTGATATCAGAAAAACAGCTGCATCACAGTAGGAACAACGATCTTGGGTCATTTCAACCTGCCCTATCTCCTACCCTCTTGCTCCAACTTGGCATTAGCTTTAAGAAATGTCTGAAGCAACAAGGGGAATCTAGCAGCCTGGTATCCACTGGATGAGGCAGACTGGGTCGCAGGTCAGCCAAAGCCTCATTCCCAGAAAATGCTCATTATCTGACCAAATCTGTGGTTCCCCGGAAGAACTCACTTGCAAGGCTTATTGTCTGAATTAACTCACAGTTCCCCAGTGTGAAAAGCCTTATCCTTGAAGGCGTTTGCCAGAAACATTCAAAGGCAATTGTTTAACTTAGCAGCTACCTGAGGCTGTGGATAACACCTGACACAGATAATAATCTAATCAAAAACCTTTATTAGAAAGGAAAAACTGGGAAATGGAATGTTCGGAAAGCTTTTGAAAAGCGTCTACAGATTCTAGAGACTCTAGAAGGTCTCCTACATGCATAGTGCTGAGCATATGCCCAGGACTGTGAATATGCTCAGGAAAGATGTGAGAAGGTCCTACACTGTCACCCTGGGTAACCCTGAGGTTTAGGGTGAACAGGAAGTGAAGGCTAACATGGAGTTATAAATTGCCTGGATGACTGTTAAAGGAATGCACTAGCACCCAGGAGGCTCTTTGGCAAAGACTGAGAGACTTACTTAAGGTTTCAGGCATCTGAGAAAATTTCTGCAGACTTCTGCAGCCACACATGATAATAAACACAGGCTCTACTGAATCAATTTAAAAGTCGCCAAATTTCAACAACAATCCCAGCAAATCAAGAAAGTTTTCTAGAGCTGCCATCTTATTTTATTTAAAATGTATAGTTTTCAATTTAAAAAAATGCAAAACAAGAAAAGAAAAAACCAAGTAAGACTCATATGCAGGAAAAACGTACAATCAACAGAAACTGCTCATGAGGAAGCAGGCATTGGACTTACTAGACAATGACTTTAAATCAACTATTTTACATACAGTCAGAGACTTAGAGGAAATGATATATGAGGAGTAAAAGAAAGTATTAGAATAACATCTCATCCAATAAAGGATATCAATAGATAGAAACTATAAAAAGGAACCAAATAGAAACTCTAAAGATGAAAAGTACAAAACTAAAACATTTTACCAAAGAAAAACTGTTAAACAGTAGGTGTGAGTAGGTGGAAGAATGGAACAACTGGACAGCATGCCCACTGAGATTATGCAGTGAGAAACAAAGAAAAATAACAAGAAATTAACTGTTGGACAGCATCAAGCTTACCAATACATGCCAAATAGACTAACAGGGTAGAGATAGAAAGGGTCTAAAATAGTATGAGACTAATGGCTAAGAAACCCCCAAATCGGATGAAAATGATAAATCTACACATCCAAAATGCTTCACATACTTTAAGTAGGATACACTTGGAGAAAGAAATCCACACTGGCTGGGGGTGGTGGCTCACGTCTGTAATATCAGCACTCTGGGAGGCTGAGGCAGGCGGATCACTTGAGGTCAAGAGTTCGAGACCAGCCTGGCCAACATGGCAAAACCCCACCTCTATTAAAAATACAAAAATTAGGCAGGCATGGTGGTGAAAGTCTGTAATCCCAGCTATTCAGGAGGCTGAGCCACAAGAATCACTTGAACCTGGGAGGTGGATGTTACAGTGAGTCAAGATCGTGCCACTGCACTCAAGCCTGGGTGACAGAGCAAGAGACTGTGGATAGAGGGAGAGAGAGAGAGAGAGAGAGAGAGAGAAATCCACACCTGGACATGAGAGTCAGAATGTTAAAAAAATAAAGAGAGAGAGAATCGTGATAGCCATAACAGAGAAACAATTCATCATGTTAAGGGCTGATTTTTAATGAGAAACTATAAAGGACAGAGGGCAATGAGATGACATATTCAAAGTGCTGAAACAAAAACTGTCAACCAGTAATCTCTATATCCAGGAAAAATGGAGATATTATAATCTTGCCACATAAACAAAACCTGAGAGAATTCATCACAGGCAAGACTGCCTGTAAGAAATAATAAAGGAAGTGGTTCAGCAAAACTATAGAGACAGAGGAGCAGGTTACTGGTTGCTTGGGGTTCATAAGGAATGGAGTACTAGTTATAGTGCACACAGCTTCATTCTGAGGCAAGAAAAATGGTCTAAAATTGACTGTGGTGATATTAGCACATTATCTCAGAATATACTAAAAATAAAATTACAGAATTCTACACTTCAAATGGGTAAATGGTAAGATATGTGAATTGAATCTCAAAAAAGGGATTTTAAAAAAAGACAAAACAAGGGAAGACAAAATCATCTGGAGACAACAGAGAAGACTAAAGGCCAGGAGAGAAACTGAGGCTGAGCCAAATGAAAGGACAAGGAAGGCGGCTCCATGAAGACATCAGCAGGGGAAGGACAGGAGAGTGGAGGGTATCAGTAACAGGGAAATGTTCCAGGACAGAGTAAGATGTTCAGCAAAGTGCTTCGGAAAAGCCAAGCAAGGAAAGGAAAAGACCACACCCACTGGATTTGATTATCCTCTGGGTAGGGACACTGGAGTTCTCAGGCAAGTTGGAGAAAACCCTAGACATCCTATGGAGATTTGACATTAAATACTAAGTGAGAAAATACCTGAAAGAGAACAAAATTCTGGACTGCCTGCTGAGCAACCTGAATATCATCGTACTTAAAATATCTATGGAGAGTGATGTTAAAAATATTCAGTTGATTCATTAGAAAAATATTAAATTCAATCCCTGCATTGGAGTTGCATTGGAGTTCTTGAAAAACAATACTGAATGTGTTCAAATTTAGCATTATAGTTTCTACTTCTATTGAAGAAGAAATAATATGCCGTTATTTGGCAATTTATTAACTAAGTCACCTACTTGAAGAATAAATACATTTCATTATCTTTATTTTTATATTCCATGATAAATCAGTTTGCTTTATCCTTCTCATCAATGTAAACCTTTAAGCATTGTCTGTCTGACACTCCACTATGGCTGTCAATAACCTCAGAAATAAATGTGAAGCACAATTTTATAAATTTGTAGTATCAGAGGATCTGTATCTCTCCACATGCCACTTTGCTCTGCTATTCACCTGCATTTCTACATCTTCTGTGAACGTGTCTGATCCATTTCTCTTTCTACTTTTCCATGTTAACGTACAGACACATAAACTCTTAAAAATCAATTGCAAAACTAACTGGTTTTTAAAAACCAAACTCACCTGAGACATGTTCATTTTCTGTTGCTCCTGGAAGAGTGCAGAGAACTGTGGAGGTTCAGCTGGGGAGGAGGAAAGATCAATGGGGTCATGAGAGATCTGGTCTGCCTCACACTGCCTACAGAAATGGTCCGTGACATAAAATGGTTCAACCTGGCAATGGTTTTACTACGACATAATCCCATTGTAATTAAGGAGCATGTAATCCTATTCATGTGCCTAAAAAAAAATTTCATCACTCTCACTTGGAGAAAGGGATTCCCAATGCAGAATGTCCTTCTGACTCTTGAAAAGGGACAAGGGCCAATCAAAGATAGCAACACCTGAACATGTGCACTTCTGACAGGATTACGTGTGCTTAGCCTTGCATTTTCACCAAGTAAAGTTATACTGTTTTTTGTTGATTTACTAATAATTATGTTGATTTATTAACAATTATGTTCCCTTTTGGACTAACAGAAAAGTAAAAATAAAACAAAGGACTAAACAAATTCAGGTACACAGAAGTGAAGCTGTTTACCTTCATTAAAACTAATGTCAAAAAACTACCCAGCCGGGCATGGTGGCTCACGCCTATAATTCCAGCAATTTGGGAGCCCAAGGCAGGTGAACTGCTGGAGGCCAGGAGTTCGAGACCAGCCTGGCCAACATGGCAAAATCCTGTCTCTACTAAAAAGAGAAAACATACAAAACAAATTTAAAAATAATTTTTTAAAAAAGGAACTACTCAGGCTAATTTATTAATCCAGTTCTTACTGTCTTTATACCCAGAGTTAGAGTTTCCACAGAAAAAATAAAGATGGGATGTTTTATGCAAGGAATTTCAGGCCCAATATTTTTGGGCTTCCAATACAGGAAACTCTTCCTCCCCTACCAGGAAAGAGGGAGAATTGGTATTACTCTAAATGCCACACGTGGTGATGAACACGGTGCGAGAGTGACTCAGAACGTGGAAGAAGTGAAGGGATAATGGAGGAAAATGGGCTGCTGTTTGGGATCTGGACAGCTGATTACATCTTCCCTGGATATCATGACCTAACCAGCCCTCAAGTAAAGCGTCTTTTTCCACTCAGCTTGACAGTCACTCATCCCTCTCAACTGCAGGGAATCACCTTCTGCAAGTTAGTCCACAGCAAAGTCACACATTTTGGGATGGCTTCTGGATGTGGTGACATCACTAAATCTGACTCATACAAGGAATCAAGAATGCTTCTAGGGAAGCAATCAGGACTTGCTCCTTTCTAGAATCTTGTGCCTCTGCTCTGAAGCTCTAGAAGAGGTCTCCTCCATCAAACGGGCTATTGTTCTATCGCAGTGGTCCCTAGGACTCCCTCTTTATTGCCTCGTAGGAGCTGCTTTGCTCCAGAGGGGCTGGAACTTGGGCCTGAGAAACTCACTTTACTTGAAACCTTCACCTAATACCCTAAACCTGACTCTTGAGATTCACTAAAAATGTGCTATTCAGCACTGCACCCATCAGCCACATACAGCCATTGCACACCTGAAGTTTGGCCAGTGCCATAAGCTGAATATTTAGGATGCAATGAGTTAAGTAAAATAAAGCAGTAAAATTGATTTTGCCTGCCTCTTTACTGTAGCTACTGCAAAATTCTGAACTCTTTTTTTTTTTTTTTTGAAACAAGAGTCTCGCCTGGTCGACAGAGCAAGATTCTGTCTCAAAAAAAGAATTTTGCAGTGGTGCAATCTCGGCTCACTGAAGCCTCTGCCTCCCCTGGGTTCAAATGATTCTCGTGCCTCAGCCTCCCAAGTAGCTGGGCTTACAGGTGTGCACAACCACGCCTGGCTAATTTTTGTATTTTTGTAGAGACAGGGTTTTGTCATGATGGCCAGGCTGGTCTCGAACTTCTGGCCTCAAGGGATTCACCGGCCTCAGCCTCCCAAAGTGCCGGGATTACAGGTGTGACCCACCGTGCCTGGTCAAAAATTATTAATTATATTTGTGTTTTACCTTATCTTTCTACTGGATGAGACAGCACTAGAGTATCAATCTGTGCCTTTGCAGAGAGAGACAGTGGGAACAGTACAAGAGGTATCAGGAGCCTCAACCTGAATCAGAGGTCCTGCAGAGACCCGACAGATCGCAGGATGTATTTACCACTTGGTGAGATTCTGTCCACATTCACTTCACAATCATCTACGCAGATCTAGTGACAGGCCACTCTGCAAAAGCACTCTGAAGGCTTTAGGCCAGTACTGGCAAGCCTGGGTTTCAGACAGACGGCATATTAGAACAGGACAGGAGTCACATCTCTTGGCATTTGCACCTCACCTCACTCACCTACTAGTGTGTGCCTCGGGGTACCCACCTCCATGAACTTCCGTCCATTTTTTAAAAAATGGCACGTTTATACCAAGGAGGGTCGTTGTGAAGGTTAAGTGAAATACCAAACGATGAGAACAAGTGTCTCACAATTCTGAGAGCAGGTTACATTTCACACAGTGAGTATTACAGAAACTTGACAAAATGCTTCACAGGTGACAACTTATTTAATTCTCAGAATAGGAACACTAGTTACTAGCAATCTCCTGTTTGCCGTCAACCTTACCCATGCACATTCCCCTTCTCGCGCCCGCAGCTCCGCGGGGCCGGGCAGCCCCCACAACTGCAGACAGGACTCGGCCCGGGCCCGCGACCCGGGCAGGGGAGGAGAGGGAGAACCAGCCTGGGGACTCCCGAGGCTGCCTACTGCTGTCCACTGCACACGAGCCCGCCCGTCCCCAAGTCCCCGGGCAGCGCGGAGCCCGGTCACCGGCGCTCTCACCCCAGGTGCGCAGCCTCGGCTCCCGCGCAGACCTAAGAACCCCGACACCTTGTCTCTTTCAGGCCTGGGAAACCGGACAACAGGCGGCGAGGCTGGGTTTACGCATGCGCAGAGGGAGGGCTTCCCGAAGTGCTACGCGGTAGGCGCATAACATTGAAAACTGCAATTCCCATAAGCCCATGCGCCTGAAGGAAATATTATAATTTTTTCTATTTCTTTGACCCGCTGGGAGGGACCCTTGGAGCCCAGGCAGAGTTTCCCAAAATTCCCTGAGGTTGTCAGCATGACCACAAACGGCGATGCATAGTTCTAGATACGATCTTGGTTGGAGAAAAAAAGCAGCTGCAACAGACATTAACAATTGGGGAAACATGAGTTTCGACAGGAAATTAGAAATATTAAGAAAAATTACCGTTACTTTGAGAATAATATCTAGACAATGTAGGACATTGCTCTTATATTTAAAAGATACGTACGGAAACATTTACAATTGTATGTTTGTAGTTTAATTGAAGTACTTTAAAAATGATCTCAAAACAATGAGAGAAAGCAAATATAGTAAAAAGTGAAGAATTGTTAAATATGTATAATACCGTGCAGATGATGCTCATTTTACTATTTTCTACTATTCTGAAGGTCTGATTTTTTTTTTTCCATACTCAGTAAAAGACGTGTGGGAGAGTGCGGTGCAAGGGGAGTGGAGAGACTTTACTACCCCTTCAAAAGTATGCCTTTAAATTCTAAACTGCCAAGTAAAGTGAAAGTACATAAAAATAGCTTTACGAATAAGGTTGTGAAATAGAACAAATACTACAAAACATACAAGAGTAACATCTGTGATCAACAGGGTTTATAGGGGTTGGAGGAGGAAACTAGCTGTTCAAAATACGTATGTAATGCGTGAAAACACATGCAACCCAAAATATGAAAATGATTATTATACCAACCTTGCATTTGCATGAGAGAACCTTCCTTGAGATGTGTATACCCATCTGACTGTTTAACAAATTAGGAATAGATAGGTAAAACAACATTTTTTTTTTAATTCATAGACTTTTTTGGGGGCGGGGGGATGGGTTTTGCTCTGCCACCCAGGCTGGAGTGCAGTAGCGCTATCCAGGCTCTCTGCAGCCTCCACCTCTGGATTCAATTGCCTCTCCCACTTCAGCCTCCTGAGTAGCTGGGACGGCAGGTATGGGCCACCATGACTGGCTAATTTTTTTGTTTTTGTTTTTGTTTTTGTTTTTGAGATGGAGTTTCTCTCTTCTTGCCCAGGCTGGAGGGCAATGGCGGGACCTCAGCTCACTGCAACCTCTGCCTCCTGGCTTTAAGCAATTCTCCTGCCTCAGCCTCCCAAGTAGTGGGATTACAGGCACCCGCCACCATGCCTGACTAACTTTTTGTATTTTAAGTAGTGATAGGGTTTCACCATGTTGGTCAGGCTTGTCTGGAACTCATGACCTCAGGTGATCCACCCACCTCAGCCCCCCAAAGTGCTAGATTACAGGCGTGAGCCACCATGCCTTCCCTTTTTGTACATATATATATATAGTAGGGATAGGGTTTCACTGTGTTTCCCAGGCTGGTCTCAGGCTCCTGGGTACAAGCCATCTGTCTGCCTCAGCCTCTCAAAATGCTGGGATATTAACAGATATACAGAGTAGTTTTAGGCATACAGAAAAATTGAGCAGAAAGCACAGAGTTCCCATATACCTTCTCTCATCAACCCACACAGTTTCCCCTATTAATATATTGCATTCATTTAGTACATTTAAAATACGCAGTCTACATTAGTTTTCACTCTATCTGCTCTACAGTTCTATGAGTGTTATCAAATGCATAATGTCATTTAGTGTGATTTCCACCAATGCAGTGATGTAATATCCACCATTATAATATCATAAAAAATAGTTTTGCTGCCTGATATGGTTTGGATTTGTGCCTCCGCCCAAACTTCATGTCAAATTAAAGGAGGGACCTGATGGAAGGTGACTGGATCATGGAGCAGACTTCCCCTTTACTGTTCTCATTAAAGTGGATTCTAACAAGATCTGATGGTTTAAAAGTATGTGGCACATCCTCCCTTTCTCTCTCTTTTGCTCTGCCATGGTAAAAATATGATTGCTTCCCCTTCACTTTCTGTCATGACTGTAAGTTTCCTGAGGCCTCCCAGTCATGCTTCCTCTTAAGACTGCAGAACTGTGAGTCAACCAAACCTCTTTTCTTCTTACCCTAGGTAGCTCTCCATAGCAGTGTAAAAATGGACTAATACAGAAAATTGGAACCAGGAGTGGGGTACTGCTATGAAGATACCTGAAAATGTGGAAACAACTTTGAAACACCTTTTTTAAATGTCACATTGTGCCAGCAACATTTGTAGAAAAAGCCATTTTTTCTCCACTGTATTGCCTTTGTTCTATTGTCAAAGATCAGTTTATGATATTTGTGTGGGTCTTTTTCTGGGTTCTCTATTTTGTTCCATTGATCTATTAATACTTGTCAGTTATTTCACCAATACGACACTTCCTTGATCACTGTACCTTTATAGTAATTTTTGAGGCCAGGTGGTGTTAGTCTTCTGACTTTATTTTTCTTCACTATTAAGTTGGCTATCTGGGTCTTTTGCATTTCCATATGAACTTTAGAATTAGTTTGTTGATGTCTATAAAATAACCTGCTGATATTTGATTGAGATTGTGTTGAATCTGTTGATCAAATTGGTAGGAACCAATATATTAACAATATTGAATCTTCCTATCCATTAACATGGAATATTTCTTCATTTAGTTCTTTATTTCTTGCATTTGAGTTTTGTACTTTTCCTCATATATATCTTTCATGTATTTTGTTAGATTTACACCTAAGTATTTCATTGTTTTGATGATAATGTAAATGGTTGTTTTTAATTTCAAATTCCAATTTTCATTGTTGTTTTATAGGAATGTAATTGATTTTTGTATAAGAAGCTTGTATACTGCAACCTTGCTAATAATCACTTAGTTCTAGATATTTTTCTGTCAACTCTGGGGTTTTCTACATAGATAATCATAGCATCTGCAAAGAAAGATAGTTTTATTACTTCCTTCCCTATCTGTAGGTTTTTTACTTCATTTTCATGTTTTGTTTCATGAGCTAGGATTTTCAGTATGATGTGGAATCGGTATGGTGAGAGAAGAAATCCTTACCTTGATCACTATCTTAGGGGCATTTTGTTTCTCAGCATTTAAAGTATGATGTCAACTATGAGTTTTCAGCAAATTTCTTTCTCAAGTTGGGGAGCTTCCTTCTATTCCTTGTTTGCTGAGAGATTTTATCATAAATAGGGATTGGATTTTGACAAATGCATTTTCTGCATTTATGATATGATTATATGATTTTCTTCTTTATCTGGTTGACAAGATGGATTAGATTGATTTTCAATGTTGAAACACCTGTGCATACATACATGGGATAAATCCAAATTATGGTATATAATTCCTCTTAAATATTATAGAATGCTATTTGCTAATATTTTGTTGAGGGGCTTTACTTGCATATTCATGAGAATCATTGGTCTCTAGTTTTCCTGTCTTTTAATGTCTTTGTCTGGTTTTAGTCTTAGGCACTGCTGGCTTATAGAATTAGTTAGAAATTGTCTCCTCTATTTTATTGAAAAGACTGTAGAGAATTTCTGTCTTAATGTTTGGCAGAATTCACCAGTGAAACTATGTTGGCTTGGAGCTTTTCATCAAAAGGTTATTAATTATTAATTCCATTTCTTTACTAGATATAGGTCTACTCAAGTAGTTTATTTCTTCTTTGTATGAGTTTTGGTATATCGTGTCTTCTAAGAAATGGGTCCATTTAATCTATGTTATAGACTTTGTGGGTACAGAGTTGTTCATTGGATGTGAAATTCTAGGTTAGTGGATTTTTTTCTGCCAATACTAAATATTTCACTCCACTCTTACTCATGTGGTTTCTGAAGAGAAGTCTGATATGGTTCTTACTATGTTTCTCAACATGCAACATCCCCTCACCCCATCCACCTCCTTTCAAGATTTTTCTCCTTGTTTTTGATTTTCTACAGTTTGAATATGATATGCCTAGGTGTATGTTACCTGGTATTTAGCCTGTTAAGTATTTTCTTAGTTTTCTGGTCTATAGTTGGATGCCTTTTATTAATTTTGAAAAATTGTCAGCTATTATTACTTCAACTATTTCTTACATTCATTTTTCCTTCTCTTTTCTTGTTCCTATTATATGTATGTTACCTTTTGTAGTTATGTCACGTTCTTGGATATTTTGTTCCATTTTTAAAAAGTAATTTATCTCTTTGCATTTAACTTTTGGAAGTATATATTGACATATCTTTGAGCTCACGGAGTCTTTCTCAGTTATATGCAGTCTGTTAATGAGCACAGGAAAGCAGTCTTCATTTTTGTTTTATTGTTTTTGAATTGTAACATTTACTTTGGATTATTTTTGGAGTTTACATCTCTCTGTTTACATTATCCATCAGTTCTTGCATGGCATTCACTTTTTCCATTACAGCCCTTAGCGTATTAATCACAGTCATTTTCAATTTCAAGTCTGGTAATTCCAAAACCTCTGCCAGTTCTGAGTCCAGCTCTGATGCTTGCTTTGTTTCTTCAGACTGTGTTATTTTGCCTTTTAATGCACTGCAATTTTACTGGAAGCCAACTACGATACATCAGATGAAAGGAACTATAGTAGATAGGTCTTTAATGTAAAGTTGAATGTTTATCTGGCTAAGAGTTAAACTATGTTTCCTGTTTGCTGCAGCTGTGATGTCAAAAGTAAAATTTCCTCTAGTGTCCTTCTTTCAGTCTCCCCTCCTGTCTTTGGGTGTTCATAGACTCCAGAAGTAAGGTCTGAGCCTTCAGTTGTTTTAGCTGTAATCCTCAGCTGTTTATGCAGGAGCACAATCGATGCAGTAGTAATGAGTGGGAGAAGGGCACGCCTTCTATGATCCCAGAGTTTTAGTGAACTGAAGTTGTGTATTTCTCTTCCTCCATGTTAAGGTCTAAAGAGGGCTGGAGTTGGGTATTGCCTTTCCCCGATCACATAGGCTTTCATAAAAACCAATTAGGCTGGGGCTGGTAAAGTAGT